ACGTTATTTTCCAAATGTTTCCGTTGGTTTAGTTTTCAGTCTTTGAGGTAGTAAAGATGCGGAAGTAATTTACATAAAGACTTTTAGTACCAGCTCATTTCAGCAGAACAGTACAAACATTCTCCCTGGAGTTTCCCTGTTGCAAGAAAATAATTCAAGCACATAATAGTGAACCTGTGGACACACTGACCTTGGGGTATTTTTTTTTGAAGGCAGGTGGTCACACTTAAGACACTTTCAAACAAAGCACTGTTATTTTCTAAGAACACCTTTGGAGCCAAAGGGCCTTGAGGCATTCTTTGAAATAATGCTAGAAGCTGGCACTCTCCTTTCAACTTACCAGCTGCATTTTTTAAATAAACTGATTGATTTTAATACTATTTCAGTCAGATACAATAGGAAGGCCAGGAGGCACCATACAGGGTAACTGGGATACTACATTGTCTACCCCTACACTAGGCAAACCTACATACACACACACTTTACAGTTTAGCATTATGTAGAAATCTGGCCATTATGAGCCCAAAGCCATAATTCATCTTGATTCAGCTTGAATTGATGTTTTGTAATGGGCAGTTCCAATAATTTTGAGGAGCAGGAGGAAGAGTCGCAACCAAGACAATGGTCAGACAAAAAAAAAATTGAGTCCAAGAGAGAAACATAATTTGAGAAAACATCTCAAACTTGTTTTGAGAAAACATCTCACACTTGACCCTTCCTAGTTCCCTTAGGTACATTTGGACTTGCAACCTTTATGTCAGCCTTCGAGGCAGACCAGACAAAGAAATCAAGGTTACTCATGCTGATACTACCTAAGATTACAGTAATAGGATCTTGCAAGTCTGACTGCACCTCCTCCATCCCTCCCTTTGTCTTCAAGAGAACTAGGGAGGATCAAGTCTAAGATGCTTTTTCAAATTACGTTTCTGTCTTGGACTCAAATTTCTTTTATCTGACCATTGTCTTGGTTATGGCTCTTCCTCCTGCTCCTCAAGGTGATTGCTACTGCCCATTGCATGTTTTCCTTGTGCTTTTGCAGTCCTTTCTTGAACAAATTAACACCCACATTTTTAAAAATATCAATAAATCTACACCCATATGCAGCTTGTCTCCCATCTGCTTCAAATGCCAAATATTTTGAAAACAAATGTGAAGCTGTTCTAGAAACTTGATATCATCAGGAATGAAAACTCAAGGGTTCCTACTTGCAGTTGCCATTTGCCAAGACACTGAGGTGGAAAATTGCAAGATTGGTTCCTCTATATCCTGAAGATAATATTGTTTCCAAGATTTAGGTGACTTCTAACCATCTTGCTTTCTGATCTTCAGCCACAGTGCTTAGGCCAGTCCTATTTTGGAAAGGCTGCATAAAATGTTATCATAACAGCACTAAAAGCGTTAGGACTGCTTTCATCTAAAGTCTGTCTAGATAGTAATCCATACAGATTGCTTTCAATATGTTACAAATCTAAATTTTAAATGTTTAAGTAGAAATAAATTTCCCTTCTGCCCATTAATTTAAGAAACCAAATATGCATGAACAATTTGATTTCAGATGTCCAAAAAGTGACATAAGCGAGTATATTCATACAATTTTCAAAACACGTTCTGAGGGGTAATCAGGTTTATGTATACAGTACATAAGTCCTAGGTAAACTTTCTGAGGTGAATACTCCCAGAAAATATTTTGAGGTTCACAGATTCCCCCACCTCATAAGAGAGATTAATTATGTGAATTTGGCTCAAGTTCAAGTACAAAACTGAAGCCATTACACCAAACCACGTTAGTCCCATTAATCATGCTTCCCTCACTGGGTTTTTTTTTTTTCTGATAACCTCTAATGTTTCCCCGTTTAATCCAAGGTATTGGCACTAAAGTTTGTTAGCCCGTGCCTCAAAAATGAGCTCTGGGATAGTGGGGAGATACTGTAAATCTTCACAGAATACCATATGACATTTTTCAAGATAAACACAGCAATTATGATGCGCTTTACAAAACAAGAAGAAAATGAAAAATATAATTAAACTCCTTTAGTCATAAACCAAATTGTTCAAAAAGTGAGTCATTTAAAATCCTTTTAGCTTGTGCAATACTTCTAGCTAAGGGGAAGGCAATCTGATGCTTTCTGGGTGTTATGGAGCAACTCCCTAGATTCCTTCATCATTGGTCATGTTCCTTGGATCTATTGGAAATTATTATATATTCTAAGTATACTCTAACTTTCTGGTGGCTTACATGTGGGTATTCCTTATTTTATCCTCAGAACAATAACTATGCAGGGTACCCTGAGTTCAGACATAAATCCAGTTTAGGTAATAAATTCCCTGTAGAATTTAGCATGTGGAAATTGTTCATAGGTATACGTGAACCATTCCATGTGAGTTAAAATCCTGAGACTGAAGGGTTTCCGCTCACATCAAGATGTTAGCATGTATGTGAGGGTTCTTCTCTGCATACAGTAACATTATACCTGTGGATGTCTGGCTGTTTATTAATACCATAGTGGAACTTCAAGGGGGAAAGGCTGTTCTCTACTTTTTTGCATGTTGAATTCCTCAAAGGAAAGCATTGCCTGTATAGAACTACAGTGACTGCCCTAAAGTCACCCTATGAACTCTGAGGTTGAAGGGGACTTCTGTGAGTCTTCCTGACCCACGTTCTGCACTTTAAACATTCTGCTTCCTCCTTCAACCTCCAAAGGTCTGGGAACATCAGGTGGTTAGTCCTGCCTTGGCTAGAATTTCCTATTCTCATTTCTTCATTTGATCATATGATAATTAACTGGACATTTAATATTTCATCTACCAGAAAGCAGATGTTCAAATCAAATTATTCTAATTAAAACAAATCTTCTTGGGAGCTTAAAGAGCCATTTTGCATGTGGCCACCAGAAATTCTATAGTTAGAACAATATCTTCCTTCAGAGGGCTTGCCATACTCTTTTATTCAGAATAATGCTTCAGTATCTCTAGATATATAGCTGAAGCACATTGGCCTTAAGGTGGATTATTATTACAGGAATAGAGAAATGTTTTTTTTTCTTTATATTCTCCATGAATATAAAGATTTTGCTTTGCCTCTTTGACTTTTTCATTTGCAGATTAACAGATGTCAATAGGTCATTCTCACAATCTTGAGGGTTCTCCAGGATGCATTTTAATATCCAGTGTTTTAATCTGTAATTCTGAGAAAAAGTGAGGAAAAAACAAGATTTAAAAAAAATTAAAGAAAATTAAAAATAGCATATAATCCA